CATGACAGACACAGAAACTCATTTTATTGGTAGCTGCCACAATCACAGCAGTTCAACATCGTATATATACGATCCCATGATCGACAAGCTAGCTCTTAAAATCCTTTTCTCCTCTAGAGCAGCTTGGAAGCTAATTATGGGCCTTGTGGCTCCATATCTTCATCTTGTTGCAGTTCTGCATGCAGAGGTCGGCGTCAGCTGCATCTGCAAAATAGCAATGCAAGAACCACAGAAATCATCAGGACAAATGAAGAAATGATTGCTTTCAAAAGTGAAAGAACACACGGATTCAACTCATCAAGAAGAAGAAGAATGTGATCAATGTGGTCTGATGTCTTACCGGCTGGCGCCTCTGAATAGTCGCAGATGTGTATCTTGCAGGCCATCCTGCATGTGGCAGCCGCAGAGCCGACACCGTTGCCGGCCTGGTTGGTGTTGGGGCTGCACTTGTTGGCGCAGAACGGGATGCAGAGCCAGCGCGGCACGCCGGGGCTCCTGCACCCAGGGTAGCAGTCGTTGAAGCACTTGCAGAAGTCGGACACGGCGGACACCTGCTGCCGCTGCCCGGACGGCAGCACGAGGAGGAGCATGATGCACAGGGCGGCAATGGCTGCCGCTCTCTTCTTCACCTCCATCTCTTTCTTCGGGACCAACGAACGATGCTTCTTAAGGATCAATAGGAGAAGGAAGGAAGGGGACTGCTGTTGGTGATTGGTGACTCTGCTAGTCAGTGTGTGTGTTCTTATAGGGGGCGCTGGAGGTCCGAGGGCAAAACTGACATTTGGCCCGGATAATTCGTAAGGTAGCTGAGCATAGTATTTCGCTATTTCCATGGCAAATCAAATGACTATGATTTCGTAGCGCTGCATCACGGCTCGATTGCGTGGCATGTTTCGGAGAATGGGTGGTGGCCAGGTGGAGTGCCCTCTAGTCAGTTTTGCCATGGTATGTATTCATTTTCTGAACATATCAATCACTATATATGAGAATAATCTCGGATCTTAAACTGATTAGATAAGCCCTTCTGAAGATGTTTGTGTTGATGTAGAAAGAAAACCGAATGCAGTTTCTGATACATTGCTGTTTTCATATAACAGTGGAGGCTATCCTATGTTTGGTAATATCTCTTCAGCTGTACAGCTGCGCGTGAGAGGAATCAGATTTCATTGACATGGCAGAAGGTAAAATACTTCCAACCAGTTTACAAGCTTCTGCCTTTTGGATGTAATAATTCCAGTGTAACACAGACAAGCCAGAAAAAAATATATTCTAGTTACATGCGGCAAATTATCTGTTCATTCTTTTACACAGGCAAGCGCCATCTGAAAACCTTGCAGATGTTACAAACCCTTGTGAATTCATGCCGCAAATCATCTACTGAAGCATCCACTATGCGGAAAATGAGTCTACTTTGGTGCTACACGCAATTGTGTCTATGCTGATAGGCGCAGTTATGGATGCTGTGTCTACCAGTTTAAGATCTGATGTTATTACCATAGTGATTTTTTGCGTGTTATTTTTGGGGGGGTGGGGGGTGGGGTGGTTGAATTTTGTACCTCGATATTTAGAAGCACAGTTCTGACTAATGAATGTTGAATCCCATGAAGTAGTCTGACCTGGGAGTTTGGGAAGAAGCTGCTGCAAGTTGAACTGAATTGTGCCTGCATTAGCCCGGTGCTATTTTCTACTGCATAAATGGCTGGCGATTCAACAAGAGCCGGGTTCCCATGCTACTTTTCCTTCTATTTTGAGATGCTGTGAAGCCATGGATGTTGGATTAGCTGCCCAAATTTTGGATTCTTTTATGAGTTGGCTAACATTTGAAATATTTTATGAGCTAGCTTCTTTTTTTGTGCGTGATTATGAGCTAGCTTCTGAAGAACATAAAATGGCTCACTTGTTCCTGGCAAGAAAAGAAAAATCGAAGGCTCAAATTGCTTCTGAAGAAATGATCTGGTTATTCTTATGAGGACATGGAGAGGCAAACCAAAGGCAAATCCTTATTATCCTTCATTTGCCTCTACACATGATAACTGCCTTTGGTTTTAAGTTTCAGTAGCAATGCCACTTTGTTTCTGGGAGGTGTTATTTTTTCCTCCTTTGCTTCAATGCCACTTTGAATTTTTACTCATCTACGTATGAAATAAGTTGTACGAAAAACAAAGTCGCACACAAAGGAAAAATCATTTGGTTGCTATGATCCAGTCATGGAAATGCCAAATCAACTTTATATTGTGTAGTATATATGCCTTACATATCGAGATACTGATTTTACTGGTTGCTGCTACAATCAGAGAGAGGTTCAACATCATACATATATGGCTACAATCTCATCATACATATATGCCTTACATATCGAGATACTGATTTTATTGGTTGATGCTTTTTTACTTCTCCTGAAACGTAACAGCTTAATTGAGGGCCTTAATTCTGGCTCCATTTCTTGTTGCAGTTCTCCACGCAGACGGCCGCATCAGCTGCATCTGCAAAATCATGAGAACAGAAGAAAAGAAAAGAATCATGAGAACAGAAGCAGAAATGACACTTGTCAGAAGAAAAGGAAACACAGGCTCGACGGAGCAGATGCAATGTGATCAAGATGGTCCGACTGTCGTCTTACCGGCCGGCGCCGCTGACCAGCCGCAGATTTTGATGTCCAGCTTGTTGCAGGCCATCCTGCACATGGCGTCGCCACTGACGGCGGCCTGGTTGGGGCTGCACTTGTTGGCGCAGAACACTTTGCAGAGGAAGCGCGGCACGTTGTCGTTCGTGCACCCGGGGAAGCAGTCGTCGAAGCACTTGCAGAACTTGGACTTGGCGGCCACCTCGCCGGGCAGCAGCACCAGGAGGAGGAGCATGCACAGGGCGGCCGGCCTCGACCTCTTCGCCTCCATCTCCTTCCTCGTGCAAGCTACGGCCTCTTCTTCTTCAGGATCAAGGGAGGAGAGAACTGCTGTGGCGATAGTGTGACTTTGTGTGGCAGTGTGGGTGCTTATATAGGTACCGGAGTTACGAGGGCAATATCGTCATTTGACAAGAGTAGCTTGTAATGTGCTGTAGTATTTTGCTCTTTCTTGGTAAATCAAATGGGCACGATTTCCCTAGCACCGCTCCGGGTTATGCGGTGGCGTGTTTTCGGCGAATGGATGAAGGCCAGGTGGAGTGTGTCCCGTAGCCAGTTTTGCCATGGTACTCATTTTCTCAAAATAGTACTCCCTCCGATCCACTAAAACCACGACACTTATTTTGGATCGGAGGGAGTATCACTCACCATGAGACTAGCCTTGGACCTAAAAATGATTAGACAAGGGAATGTTGCTCATCTCTGTTTTGGTAGGCAAGCCACTATGAATCTGCCTGTGTTGATGTAGAAAGGAAACAGAATTCAGTTCTGATACAATGCTGTTTCTATATACCAGTCTGACTGAACAACTGAACATTCAGTACTGCTATCTCCTGGTAAATCAAATGGGCATGATTTCCCTAGCATCGCTGCCGGTTTATGCGGCGGCGTATTTTCAGCGAATGGGTGAAGGCCAGGTGGAGTACGTGTGTCCTCTAGTCAGTTTTGCCATGGTATTCATTCCTGAAGATTGATATCACTGATCACCCACTATGAATATAACCTTGTTGGACCTCAAAAATGATTAGAGACAAGGCAAGGCTGCTCATCTTTGTTTTTGCAGGGAAGCCACTATGAATCTGCCTGTGTCGATGTAGAAAGGAAACAGAATGCAGTTCTGATCCAGTGCTGTTTATATACCAGTCGAGTGAACAACTGTACATTACTCTACTAGTATCTCTTTAGCTGTACAGCTACGCGTGAGAGAGATCATACTTGATTGTCATGACAGCAAGCAAATACTTCCAAGCAGTTTACACGCTTCTGGATGTAATAATTCCGGTGGGGAATATTTGGTGGCAGAGTAAAATTATCGCACTTTCATCTTGACAGGCTAAATTTGTTCAGATAAGTAAATCATGATCACTTACGTATCGTGGCCGTGATTTTTCAGTAGTAGTATGCTTTATTTGTCTTCCAGTATTGTGTAGAACAAACTTAAACGATAGCTCAGGATGACTCCTCCCATCTGACCAGCTAACAGTCTGATTGTGCATGTTCTTCATTTTTTTTTTTGAATTTTCATGTTCTTCATTTTTCAAACGATATTAATGAGTATATGCTGTTCTGGAAATATTCAGTAAATTTGACAGTAGGTGTGTTCTATATACTATATATTAGTGTGTGTGTTTTTCAAAACTGAGTTGTATTTCTGAATTTACAGTTGTAAGTTTATTTAGACATCTCCCTAATGTCTCCTTGTTTAGTTTTGAGCTTTTCTCTTAAATGTCATTGTGTCATGCGCCTTCATTAAATCATATGCTAGCTACTGTCATTGCTTTGCCTATGTTCGATCCTTTATGTCCCTTATTTTGCGTGTTTTTTGTTGTTAACTTTGCATGCACCTCAATATAATATTTAGAAGCACTGTTCTGAATAATGAATGTTGAATCCCATCGGTAGTCTCAGTCTGATGTTAGGAATGTTGGGAAGAAGTTCTTGTGAGTTGAACTGAATTTGCACTTGCCTTAGCCTGATATTATTTGCTACTGCATATATGGCTGGCGATTCAACAACTAGCTCTAATATATGGTTCCAGTGCTACTTTTCATTCTTTTTTTAAGATGCTATGAAGCCTTGGATGTTGTATCAGTTGCCTAAAATTTTCTCATCTCTGGGTTAAGTTAAGGGGGAAAAGGTGGCACTTTTTCGTCGCAAAAAAGACAAAAAACTTTGGAAATGCCAAATCAAAGCCAGTTTAACTTCATATTATGTATATTAATTATGCCTTACATATCGACATACTCAATTTATTGGTTGCTGCTACAATCACAGCCATTCAACATCATATTTATATATATGTACTGATCCCATGATCGACAAGGTAGCTCTTCAGATCTTCTTCTCTTCTCCTAAAACGGAGTGGTTTGGCGGTTAATCAGTGTGTCTGGGCCATCTGGCTCAGCTTCCTGTTGCAGTTCTGCACGCAGACGTCGGCGTCATCAGCTGCATCTGCAGAAATTGCAGTGCAAGAACAGAAATCATCAGAACAAAAAATGGAACTATTCTTGTCAAAAAGAAAAAAGAACACGCAGATTTTCAACTCATCAAGAAGAAGAAGAAGAATGTGATCAAGATGGTCCGTCGTCTTACCGGTCGGCGCCGCCGCTGAGTGGCCGCAGATCTGTATCTTGCAGGCCATCCTGCAGGTGGCGGCGGCAGAGCCGATGCCGACGCCATAGCCGGGCTGGTTGGTGTCGGGGCTGCACTTGTTGGCGCAGAACACATCGCAGGCGTAGCCCGGCACGTTGTCGTTCACGCACCCGGGGTAGCAGGCGTCGAAGCACTTGCAGAACTCCGACTTGGCGGCCGCCTCTCCGGGCAGCAGCGCCAGGAGGAGGAGCACGCACAGCGCGGCCGTGGTGGCCGCCCCCTTGAGCTTCTTCGCCTCCATCTCCTCCTTCCTCGCGCAAGCTATGGGCTATGGCTTCTTCTTCTTCGGGATCAGGGAGTGGAGACAAGTGCTGTGGTGAGTGTGTGAGAGGCTGTGGCAGTGTGGACTCTTCTTATATGGGCACCGGAGTTCTGTCCAGAGGGCATAACCGTCATTTTACCTGGATGACTCATGATGTATTTTCCGAGCATCGAGCATCGTATTTCGCTGTTTTCGGGAAATTGGGACGGGCGCGATCGATTTTCCCTAGCACCGCCTCCGGGTTATGCGGCGAGTTTCGGTGACATGGTTGATGACCAAGTGGAGAGTGTGTCATTTAGCCAGTTTTTGCCATGGTATTTTGCTATTTCCTAGTAAATAAAATGGGCAAGAGATTTCCCTAGCACCGGTTATGTGGCGGCGTGTTTTCGGCGAATGGATGAAGGCCAGTGGAGTGTGTCCTGTAGCCAGTTTTGCCATGGTACTCATGTTCTGAAGATAATATCACTCACCATGAAACTAACCTTGGACCTAAAAATGATTAGAGACAAGGGAATGCTCCTCATCTCTGTTTTTGCAGGCAAGCCACTATGAAGCTGCCTGTGTTGATGTAGAAAGTTAACACAATGCAGTTCTGATCCAATTCTGTTTATACGAGTGAACATTACTCTACTAGTATATCTTTAATTAGCTGTACAGCTACGCGTGTGAGACAAGACTTCATTGGCAATTTGGCATGACAGAAAATAAATATTTCCAGGCAGTTTACAAGCTTCTGGATGTAATAATTCCAGTGGGGAATATTTGATGCCAGAAAAAAAATGATTTCATTTTCACCTTGGCAGGCTAAATTTGTTTCTGATTAATGAGTATTGTTGCCATGATTTTTTAGTAGTATATAGTTTAAACGATAGCTCAGGATGACTCCTCCCTTCTGACCAGCTAATTCTGATTGTGCATATTCTTCATTTTTATACGATATTAATGAGTATATGCTGTTTCAGGAATATTCAGTAAATTTGACAGTAGTTGTGTTTTATATATCCCTAACTATTTTTGTTTCAAAACTGAGTTGTGTTTCTGATTTTTTTTAGACTGTGTTTCTGAAATTACAGTTGTAAATTAATCAAAATATCTCCCTAATGGCTCCTTGTTCCGTTTTGAGCTTTCTCTGGGATGTCATTGTGTCGTGCGCCTTCATTAAATCATATGGTAGCTACTGTCTACTGCTTTGCCTATATTCCTTTATGCCCCTTGTGCGTGTTTTTTGTTGTTAAATTTGCACCTCAATATTCAGAAGTATATATAGTTCTGACTAATGAATTTTGAATCCCATTAGTAGTCTCAGACTCTCAGTCTGAGCTGGGAGTTGGGAAGAGGTTTCAGTGCTACTTTTTCTTCGTTTTTTAGATGCTATGAAGCCTTGGATGTTGTATCAGTTGCAAAAATTTGGAATTCCTCTATGAGTTGGCTAACAATTGAAATATTTTGCGAGCTAGCTTCTAAAGAAAATAAGATGGCTCGCTTTTTTTTTTTTGCCAATAATAAAAGGGAAACGATCCTATTCAACCGGCTGATTTCCACCCCTCCATCTGCCGCCTTTGGTGTTCGCCACGTGCCCCGGTGGTCCCGTCCCACTCCCCACATCCCAACCTTATCCATCCTCTCCACCGAGAATTTTCATCCTCATCTCTTCCTCTCCTCTCTCTCATGTACCCGCTGCCCCCGCACTCAACCAAAGACCCCGCCCCATCAGCCATCTACCACGGCTGCTGATGCTTGCTGCAACTCTGGCCTACGTGCTCCCAGCCTGCCGCTTCTGCTTATGCATCTATCGTTGCTTCAAGCGCAGTTGATAAGCACAACGGCGGCCCCGCCTCCCGCTCCGCCGTTGTCGCAACATCCGCCAGTGCATCGCAGCTTCGCCGGAGTCGTTTCTGAAACTGAGCTATTGTTTCCGAAACAGAGCTATTGTTTTTTCACGCAAGTGTTCATGATTCAGAGTGGAACAGAGCGTGTTTCAGAAATGTTGAGTATAAGATTATTAGGAAGTATAGGATAAACTAGGATTTGGTCCTGCCTTGTCGTGTACTTCAAGTTGGTCTTTATACTCCTATATATATGCCCACGAGGCTCAAGCAATACAACAACTATTCCATCAAAATCCCTCTCTCCCTTCCAACATGGTATCTATCGCAAGTCGATCCTAAACCCTAGCCGCCGCCGCTTCCGTACCTGCGCGCTGCCCCCGGGACGGTTGGCCTCCATGACCGCCGCCGGGGGCCGTGCCGCCGTACCTAGGGTTCGTCCGCCGGCCGTGTTGGCCGGCTGCCCTAGAGTCTTTTTTCCCGATCCTTTGATCCGGGTTTTCTTACTCTCGCTGGTCGCTTTGATCGGCGTCTACTTTTTGGTTTTCTGGTCTATGTGATCCGGTTTGCCTCGCCCACCGCCGCCGCCGACCCCGTGCGCCTCTACTCAAACACCGACGCGATTGGCCGGCTTCTTCACCGATCCGACAGCCTCGCGCGTCGTCCACGTGTCTGCCCGTCGGTCGCCCCGACTCAGCGGCCTTGCGCGTCGTCCGCTCGTCGGCCCGCTGGTCGCCCCGACCTGACGGCCTCGCGTCATGCGGCGGCCCTTCACCACCACCGTTCGCGCGACGTCCCGCCCGTCGATCTACGCCGCCATCACCGCCCTGCTCCGACCGGGACTCCTGCATCACCCCGACCCGACGGCCTCGCGCCATGCGGTGGCCAATCATAGCCGCCCCACCGCCCGCCGCCGCCGGCTTCATCTCGGACTCCGTCGCCACCACGCCTCTACCGAGCGGCGTCCCCGACCTCGCGCGCGATCAGTTTGATCACCCGCTCGCCGCCGCGATCCGCCTCATCTACGCCGCGCGACCGACCTGGCCCGTCGGTTGCACACGCCTCCGCAGGTCCCGTGAAGATCGTCCCCGAGTTCAGCGCGCCTCTCCACCGATCGAGCATCGGGCCGCCGTTGCGTCGCCCCGTCGGGCCGAAGCGCCGCCGCCCCGTGGTTCTTCTCCCGGCTGCACCGACCCGCGTCACCGCTGTATCGCCCCTTTGGACCGTAGTGCCGCGGCCCGCGGTCCCCCGTCGCCCCGAGGGCGTCCGCTCTAGGCCATCCCGTGGCTGCATCAACCCTCGCGCCGCCACTGCATCGCCCCGTCGGGCTGTAGCGAGTGTGGCACGCGGTCCACGCCGTCGTCCCGAGGTCGTCCCCGCGGTTGCACCGACTCACGAATTGCCGTTGTGTCGCCCCTTCGGGCCACAGCGTCACGGTCCGCGGTCCCCGCAGCCGCCCCAAGGTCTTCCCGCCGTCGCCCTGACCCGCCTACCGCAGCTGCGTCACCCCTTCTGGCCGTAGCGCCGCGGCCCGCGGTCCACTCTGTCGTCACCGCGCGTCGACCTCCCGTGGTATGCGCCGCGCCGTCTCCCTTAGCACGGGAACGACACCGTCCGCGCCGGTCTTCGTCATGCTGTTGGGTTCTACTCGCCTACTTCGAGCACCGCCGCCGCGCTCCTAACTTAGCCGCCGCCGCCGCTGTCAGGCCGCCGCCGCTACCCCGTAGCCGCCGCAGCCGCCCGTCCACCTCCTTCGTCTTCATCCAGCACCAGCCCGTCGTTAGCATCGCTGTCATCTACCCCGACCACTTCGTCTACTCCGACCACCGTTGGTGACATTGGCCCCGCGCCGATGGACGCCGCAACCGTCGTCGAGTTCTTCTCTGCTGGCCCTCCGACTACTTCGACATGGCGTACAGCTCGTGCAGGTCCTAGTCTCCGCATGCCCGGTGCTGGCAACACCGCCGCGTGCCTTCGTCCACGATGTGTCCCCAGGCCTGGCAAGCCTGGTGCGGCGCTTCGTCAACTTCGTCTTCGTCCGTCTACGCATGCCCGATGCTGGCAACACCGGTGCGTGCCTTCGTCCATGATGTGTCCCTGGGCTTGGCAAACCCGCCGCGATGCTTCGTCAACACCGTCATCTTTCCGGCGCACCACTACCTCGTCACCACTGCGCCCATGACTAACTCGGCGCCTCCTTGCGCCCGCGGCTCCACGGTGACTTCCTCGACACCGGTCACCCCGACTCGACATCGACCACGACATTCTTCGCACGGCTACCTCGATCATGGCTCCACCACACACGCTCTCGGCTACATCGACAAACGGCACAAAGGGCTACCGCCTGCTTGAGCAACCTCGTCGGTTTCCACTCCAGTCACGACTTCTGCGATGCGTCGACCGTTACGACTGTGGGGGGTGTCCGTCGGCTTGCCTTCGTATTCTTCTCCAGTCTTACCGTCTGCGTCGCTACCGTTGTGACTGCGGGGGGATGTTGAGTATAAGATTATTAGGAAGTATAGGATAGACTAGGATTTGGTCCTGCCTTGTCTTGTACTCCAAGTTGGTCTTTGTACTTCTATATATATGCCCACGAGGCTCAAGCAATACAACAACTATTCCATCAAAATCCCTCTCCCCCTTCCAACAAGAAACAAGAGCTCATCGAAGATTTTTGATAGGATTTGCTAGATGGAGCTTCAGGAAACAAGAGCATTGTTGCAGGAAATCAGAGAAGATCAGATCTTGCAGCAAGAGCATTGTTGCAAGAAATGCTTTTGTTGCGAAACCGTACGGGGCGCAGATCTATCGGTGGCCGGGAGCAAGAGTGCTAATGTTTTTGCAACAGAGCAGTTGTTGCGGGAAATAACTAGTGGCCGTGCGGGGCGCGGACAGTAGATCGGGCGGCTAGCAGGTCGGGCATCCAATGGTTGTCGAGACGACGGATAAAATCAGAAAATCAGTCGGCGGACGGGTAGGGTCGCCCATAATAAAATGGCTCACTTGTTTCTGCCAAAAAGTCCAAGCCTAACTTGCTTCTGAAGAAATGATTTCCTTATTCTTAGGAAGACAGGCAAACCAAGGCCAAATAATCAGTATTAGCCTTTGTTATTAAGTTTCAGTAGCAATGCTACTTTGCTTCTATGCCTGTTA